AAATGTGGCCACGTTCCGGGGTCTCCTCTCTTTCCCGGGCCCTTTTTTTTTTTGTTGTTCTGGTTCTTGGCCAGATTGGATGGGATGGCCAATATATGCGAGGCGGCGGCCCTTTTCAAGATGCCACGATCACGTTGACATTTTCGCCTGGACGCGGGAGTTGCCCCACTAGATACCCCCGATTCCTCGATTCCCCAGATCTCCATCGCCAGCTCCCCCTCGAAAATCCCCACCCCGATCCCCTCGACTGTTGACATGTCGCCGGTTGTGATTGATTTAGGGCCGCTTTTTGTTTTCCGCTGAAGCGCAGCCGTTTGAACCCATTGTTTTTGGCCCAAAAAAAAAGGGCGTATGACGATGCCAACCCGACGACGTGAGCTGCCGTCTTCGAGAACTGGTAAGTGGTATAAGGTATATGGTATATGGTGTATGGTGTATGGTAACTTGGAAGCGGGTAGGTTTTTTTCTTTTTTTGGGGACCCCTCTCATGTTAATTGATAGCGCTGGATTAGTTGGATCGATAAATGCAATGCATTTGATATGATTTCCTGGAAATCGTCGCTGGCAGCTCATTTGAATTATGAGAAACGAGTGGGTAAATGTGTGGGGATACATTTCTCAGGGAGTTGGTCTACCGTTTGGTGACTTTATAACTGTATTATAAAATATTTATAGAAACTGATTACTTTTGAGCTGACGAGTTCAATTTTCTTTCAATCTATCAAGTTTAACCTAAACTTTTAATCTTGTGCCATAAGGGATTGTGATATATCCACAATGTGTCGGAAATAACAAACTGATATTACAAAAATTAAATAATATCTTCAATTAAATACAAATTATTAAGGTTTATAATTGAACACGACTTTATAATTTTAAATGATTAAAAAATCCTTATATATTGGGTGATTTTTTCTTGTTGTTAATTAAGAGTAGGCCTCAATTTTTAAAAGGCATCAGTTCTACCCATGTTTTTATCCTCCCCCTAGTGATCTTTTGGATTTTCGTCGCTCCAAGGTCCTCTTTTGCTGGTCCCTGCTATCACCTGTAAATGTAAGAAGCGAGGCTCAGGTGAAATTTATCAGCCAAAGGGGAGGAGTCTCTGGGCCGGAGTCGCAGTTCCTCCAGTTCCCGTCCTCCACTCACCCGACTTTCGAGCTGGGGAGGCTGCCTTGGGGCACTCACTCGCTCACCGGCTCACTCGCTCCCTCGGACGTATTAAATTAATATTTACTTTTTGTCAAAAGGCTATAATCAAGCACGCTGGCGATGACAGGCTAAGAGGCTCTAATTACAGCTTGTTACCCTGATGCAGCGGCCACACAGGTCGTGGCTCACTTCGGCTTCGCCTTCGACTGGATCTGGATGTGGATGTGGATCTGGAACTGGGAGTGGGACTTCTACTTCGACTGGGACCCCGTCTTCCGTTTATGCTAAGTGGCAAGCGCCGTCGTCGCCCTCATCCGCATCCTCATCCTTATACCCATCCCATCCCATCCCATCCTATCCTCCCTCCGACCTTCAGCCAACCCTACTTCGCGTGATCCTCGCTGCAGAAGCACAATTATGCACTTGAAACATTTCATTAACGAAGTGTAATCATGCCCTGAAAATGTATTTTAAAAAGGAATGATTTTTATTGATTTATGAAGAATTAGTTAGGTGATACATCATTCAAATGACAAACAGTTTACAAATGAACCCATCTACAATTTTAAAACCGATCAATAAAGAATTAAACTGCAAACTTTGAGAAACAATGTTTTAAACCGAGATTTGTAAAGATAATCACTTACAAAATATTAAGCCACAATATTCGAATGGTACAACACTTTAAATTCGTTTTTAAATAAATGAAATAATTTAAGAACTACCATTTTTGATTTACTATTGAAATGTATAAAGTGATAACTATGTGGCACAAAGAATTTTTTCAAGTGTACCCAACGCGAGCTCATTCCAAACTGCAGCATATTTGCGGGTTTAATGCACTGCCTGCTCCTCATCCTTCTGCGTTTGCTGCAGTTTGATTGAAGCCAGCAAATTAAAATCCCCAGCCAGGTGCCCCGAGAAGCGAGAACCCAAAAACCAAGAACCGAGAACGGAGATCCGAGATCCAAGATCCGAGATCCCTATTCCGAACTTGAACCCCAATCCAATCCACTTTGGTTGGTGGCATTCCAAATGCAATTCTCACGATTTGGCAGCCATTTGTGTACCTCGGGCCTCATCATCTCCTTGTAAGCTGCTCATTTGGCCATCGCCAACAAGCCGGCACAGATGCTCTGGCCCGATCAAATTAACCATTTAAATAAAACATTTGTTTTGATTTGCTTTGCCAGAGAGGCGAAAAACAAGGGGGGGTGGGGGATTGGGAGGGGTCTTGACCCAACATGCTGGCTGACAGGCGGTCAAAAGAAATTCCGGGCAATTCATGTTCAGAAGGGCCTCGAGATCAGCGCCAGATTTAACCGGTATATAAAGAGGCATTTATTATATATCTTCTGTGTGTCTTTCCCTCCGATTTGTCACGCAATGATGTGCGAAATGCCTTGCACGCACCAATTGATTTTTAAAGAAATAATAAAGGAAGGTGGATTGTCTGCCCGATTAGACAAGGGACTTTAAGTTTTTTAAGGCATTTTTGTTCATCTGAAAACAACTTAAGTATTTCGTTCTTTATCAATTTATATGGAAAAAAAGTGAACTAAATTCATTTTAGTTTATGAAATTCTTTTAGATAGATTTTCTGATTAAAAGAATTTAATTCGAAGAAGTTATTCAAACACCGAGTGGAAATAAAATAAATCATTTGCTAAGTCTTTAAGTTCTATATTAAATGAAGTGAATTAAATATGTTTTAGTTTTTAAAACTCTTCGAAATAGGTATTTAAATAATCAAATTGAAAAGCCAACTGAAAACATGGCTCTTTAGCCAAATACAAACATGAAATATTTCTGATTCTGCTGGAAATATTATTAATGCTTGCAAATTGGTGTGGAAATAAAAATGAATATTTTTAATTACTTTGCCATATGCGGAGAAATGGGTGATATATTCAAGTGGGTGAATGGCGAAGGGGGTATAACAAATTGTGTGTTTAAAATGTGATTATGAGATGTTCATAAAATTTGCTTTTGCGGCCATTAAAATGAATATAAATTGCATGGAAATGGAATTCATTAAGCGCAAGAACAGCGACAAGTGGAGATGTTGACAGCAATCAGGAAGCTTCGGGTCCAGAGGGGCTGCTTATCCCCAACCGATTGCCAAATTATCATTTATTAATTATGGTTTAATTTGTGTGGGAAGCGGCAGATCAAACAATTTCACGATTCACGAAATAAGTAAATGAATACGAAAAAAAAAGAAACAACTCAGACGCGCAGCGTCAACAACAAATAATAAATTTTAGAAGAAGCCACATTAAAATGCAAATCAAATCCAATAAAACACAACTCATTAAAAGCGCAACTAGGCGGTTAACAACCCGATACGAGTCGATTCGATCCAAAGCGCCCAAATAAAACCCATTTGAATCGAATTTAACCGAATCGAGTTGAACCGAAACCACCGCCGGCATAAATGGCAAAAACCAAATCGCCCACATGAATAAATACGATCGGAGTTCTATCAAACTCGAGGTGAATTTATATAATATATATATTTCTTGTGGAAATCAACTATCACTGAATGTGTTTTGATCAATAATTTCTTGGGGTACCTAAACTATAAAACAGTTTACTTTGCCTTTTACCTTTTGTCATCAAACAGAATACAATATTAAGTTCTGGTCTAGTTTTAATTTATGTGATATATTTAAAATTCAATAAACATTACTATTCTGTAACTTATTCCTATAAACATTTCGATGTATTTAAATTTTAAAACTCTCTTGTTATTTATACATCAACCCCAACATTCTATTGTTGGAAACCCACTTATACACTGTCATAAAAGGGTATTAACAGGTGCGACTATCCCATTTTAGCATACTTTTCGTGTCGCCTCTGCAATTGTCATTTGCTGGGTAATTTACAACTATAAAATACAAAAGCCGCACATGCATAAATCAACTTGGTCGCAATAAAGTATAAATTAAGGCAAAAAATAATGGAAGCCCGCAAAAGCAGACAGTCGACTGCCAAAAGTTGAAACAACAGAAGAAGTAACATCAAAAACAATGGAGGGGAAAAAATTAAATTATTTAATTTATGAATGACATAAAGTTTAATTTGAATGTTATGTCTGTCGCTTGAAACCGAAACAGACACGTGACCAAAATGTTGTATGATTGGTTGGTTGTGCATATTGAACGTCAAACATATATATGTATCTGAGTCAGGCTCTTGATGGGCGGTGGGCGTGGCAGATGCGGGAATTGGGAATTTCTGCCACACACAAATTGTGTGTGTAGTTTATTGGGATTGTTAGCTGTCCGCGAATCGCTGTTAATTCGCAATTAAAATGCGCAACATGTCGGCAGCGGACCAAATGTCATTCTCTGACATTTTCCACAGTCCATCGTCGAAATCGTGGCCTATCAATAATACCGGCGATACATCAAAAGGCCAACCGATGATCGACAGACGAGACCCTCGAGAAGTTGGCAGCTCTGACAGATATTCCGCATACCGAAAATAGCCATATAAAGACTATTCAATAACCAATAACTGGACACCAGGTGAATAAATTAACTATTTGGATGAAGAACATTTAAATAAATTAATTAAAGAAGCTAATTACTATCGATAAAAAAGTTATTGTAATGAATGATTTATTAAAAGAAGAAATGGTATGGTCATTAAATTGTATAAAATTAAATATAAGTGAATGGTTGTCGGACTAAATTCGTAGTGTCATCACACATTCAAAGGACAATTATATTTTTATAATTTTTTGTTAACTTTAAATACTTCCATTAAGTTTAAATGTTCACCATTATTACACTTACCTATCGTTTAGTAACTCACCTCCGAAATATAAAAAAACAAACATATTTTCATTGAAAAACTTAGGTTTTATTGACTAAACTCACAATAAGAAGGCAAAAACATAGAATAAATAATTTAGGACCGACGGAGAAATATTCCCGCGTCGGCTGTCTCAGTTTCATTGGACTTACGGCTAATTTAGCTAATTTTGCTCTGCTCTTTGCTATTAGCAATGGGCCAAAAAAATGTTAAAAAAAAATCGTACGTATCTAGATGGTAACTTTTGTGCGTTTTGCGACGATGACGATCTAAATGGGTAACACTAGGTATGCTCTAATTATAGGAAACTCTGTAAGCGGCGTATACTTTTCGAAAGCACCTAAATTTAAGTTACGATCTAGCGAAATATCAAATAGTATTTGGGTTACAATTTCACTGCTCTCTCTCCCCCTTCTCTTCGATCCCCTCTCCCCCCCACATTGCCTTTGTTTTTAGCTTACAAAAAAAAAAAATCAGTAAAAAAAACCAAAAGGCGAATAAAAAAATATGAAACCCAACGGTGGTTAACTGCGTGCTTTTTTCCCCCCTGCAGCTGCCAAAAATCCAAAGGGTCTATATACCATATAGAATGGGTGCCCTACAGCTCCTCCAGACAACGCACATTGGTCAACATGATCCGGGTGAGCCGCCAAACTTGCTTGGCCGCATTTTCCAGGGCGCCCGGCGACTTGCCCTTGAACAGATCCATGTTGGGCAGGAAGTAGTGCGGACAGCGGCGACACTGCAGGCAGGATATCAGCTGCAGGAAGATCCCGTTGATGCGGTCCGCGATGCAGTTCTCCTCCCACTCCATCTCCCGCGGATGCTTCTCGCACTCGTAGAGCAGCAGGGTCTTCAGGTGGTACGAGGTCACCGGGTTGCCGGGCAGGTCCAAGTGCCGATCTCGCAGGGTCTTCAGGATACTCAGGCACCGGCGTCGACTGGCTCCTGGAATTGAGATGGAAAATGGGAAGTTATTATTAGGACACACTGTATAAATTACCTAAAAATCTGGTATATTATGCAAGGAAAACCCTTTAGAATTGTTCACAAAATAGATTACCATTAAAGTTATTATGTTTCGGCAAGAAATCAATAGATACGATCTTAAAAACATATCTGGAATACCCAAAAATTCGTAAAATTTAATTTGTAAAAAAACCTTAAATTAAGGCGTAATACACTTAAGTATACCGACTTTTTCTATTGTGTATAGTTATTAATTTAATAATTAACTTTTTCGTCAAATATATGTATGTATGTACCTACTAAAATTCTGAATTCTATTAATGGTAAACTTTTTCAATAATACGACATTGTAATTGCGAAACCATCAGTGTTACATGGTAAGAAATTGACGATTAAAGAAATATGCATAGATACAATATCTGTTATAAAATAGAGATAAATAGTACTCTGATTTTATATCGATTTAAATGATACAACTTCTATACTTAACAAATGAAACAGTAAATGTTTATTGGGTGGGCCTTGTTGGTAGGGATTACCAGTAATGTTTTGTAGTTCTACAGATTGCCTTTGGCTCAATGCATCATTCTGTCCATCCGATGCCATCGATACAATTGAGGCGAAATGATTTTGACAGAGCTATAGTTCGTTCGTTCTTTGTCAGATAAGCACTAACTGATCGATGGGTTTGGTCATTAGAACTCTTTCTATCTCAAGTACATCAGTCTATTTATTTCGCTAAGTGTTTTGCCTACTTCAAAATGTTTTTAGTTTTTAATACTGACTCATGCCTTACTGATATCAAATTAAAGTAATAAGAGCTTATAGATATGCAAGATTTTAATAATATTGACTCTGGTTAAAGATAATGTTATTAGTTATGGCTTAATCAACATAATTGAAAAGTAAACTATAGCCACTCAGCTTAGAAATAATTTAGTTAAGCACATGAGCTTATTTATTGTGTAGATTCCAATGAATGTAAACTAAATGCAGTTTATATTAGTTTAACTAAAATAATGGCGAATAAAAAGTACCTATTTGCCAGTCAGTGATTGAAAATAAAACTATATTAGAAATTCTCCAATAGTCAAAGACATGAGTTTATTTATTGTGTAGATCCCAAGAAATGTAAGCTAAATGCAGTTAATATTACTTTAACTGAAATTAATGCGAATAAAATAGTACCTATTTCCCATTTAAGGCCCTCGACTTTGATTGATCAACCATATTTAATGTACTTATGTTTTGGTTTCCATTTCTCCTTCGAGAGGCGGACGTACAGGTATATGGTCCCCCGATTCTTAATTTATTATGGTCCCAGTGCGTTGGAGCACATAAATCATGGCTACGTTGGCACGATGTCAGCCGGGCTAATCTCGGCTCCGGTCCGATAATCACGTTTACGTCTACGGCCTTTTCCCGCTCCGGAGCTTCTTGCTCCGGGTTTCGCTTTACATTGCGGCTAATCAATATTGAACGATATTGCCACAATATTGGCACTCGGACTCATACAGCGAAAATCGGGCGAAAATTGGACTAAACAAGTGCGATTTGAGCCTCTCGAAATGCCTCGGAATCGAGTCCATGTCAAGTGGACGTTAATTTGGAGCTGCAAGTGACAGTGCTAATTATAGTCGCGATCTGATTAACTTGGCCAAAAAAAAAAAGAAAGAAAGAAAAACGAGGCAAGGAAAGTTAGTCAATTTCTGTGTTTCGGTTCGCAGCATTAAATTAAATGACAAACACGCGGGGGAACCAGCCGGATCAATATCGATCAGAGATCGTTGTCAGGGGCCTTAGAATTGATTTCGATTTGAGTTTGGGTTTGGGTTTCAGTTTCGATTTTGGTTTTTCGTTTTTCTGTTTTTTTGGCTTGATTTTCGTTTTTGTTTTGCTTCGGCGGCTCTCAGCTTTTTGCTCCCCCAAAACCCAATCTTTTACCTCTTTCTTTGCTTTTTTTTTTTTCTTGGTTTTTTTTCCGTGTGTCATCTCATGCTTGGCCCGCTGTTGTTTTATTTATTTGTTGACTTTATCTAATCGCCGAGATTTAAAATATTTATAAAATCGTTTAGAAATTTATTTATGGCCCAGCCATTGGCATTGTTCATATGGAAACCCGTTTCCCGTAGCTCCGTAGTCAGTGGTCAGTGGTCTGTAGTCTGTGGCCTGTAGTCCGGCCAACTAACCGTCTAACTGCCTTGGGACTACGACTACCGAGACTGCGCTTATCTCTCGGGGATCAGCAGATTTGTGTGCGTTGTCGCGCTGCGACCAAAATTGAAAAAAAAATAAAAAAAACCCACAGAAGAACTAAGAAACTGGGAAACTTAAGACCTGGAGAGTCCAAGTCCCCAACTCCTCGGGTTTTTATTCCGACACCCCCCCTCGATCGAACATCAGATTTATGATCGTAGCCAACCGGGCGACGCTGGCTCGTATCTCATATCATATCTGGCCCCGATAATCGGATGTCTCGTTGGGCAGTCGTCCACTCAACGAGTGGCTCCCCACTAATCGCCGGGCATCTTATCGCCCTGCCTAATTGAATCTGCGGTGCAATTTCCTCCCAACTATGCAGATTCGACGTGACATCGCCGCGAGGTGTGTGTGACGATCTTGTTTAGGATTAACATCAATTTCTAGCGATGCCAGCAGATGGAGAGTCGATTTTAGATCGTTCTTAAAAAGCTCATACAAACATTTTTAAGGTGAGTGAGTTGTAGTAAAGGTTAAGAGAGTTGTTATATTTCAAACTAACTAGTTAATGCATAGTTTCACAAGGGTCTTACGAAAATAACTTTAAAGATACTACAAAATATATTCTAGTTGTATAATTTTTAAGTCTTTACAAAAAAAACTAAATCTTTTCATTAATAATAAAAACTATTTGTTTATTGTGGATACAGAAAGCAATGAACATAATTTGAAAACTCTCATTGTATAGAACTCATTAGTATCCCATCAATCTGTGATCAAGTTTGCCCATCCTGTGGTATCATTTGAAGGTATATTTTTTGTTTTTAATATTTCGATTATTTGTATGAATATGTATATATGTGTTAAATTGAATTGGCATTAATGTATTTCATCTTTAGTGCCCAAATTCAAAGACAACGACAGTTGGTGATCAGAAGTAAGTAAGGGTTTGGGGTTAAATAAATCCATTCAATGAGTTCCTTGAAAGCTATAGCCCTAAATGGAAATTTCCCCCACATCTTCTTTCCGATCTAGCTGAACGATCTCCAAATTTATACGGTGTACCCCTGTTTGACGGTTAATTTACAACCAATTACGGGCGTATCAAGACGAAGTCGCTGATTTGATGGGAATAAATCAATTCAGTTTAAGTGTGTCACTGATTACTGATTGGGGGACACTGGGACCACTAAGAAAACATGCCCGAATTACGGTAGCCACTCACTCTGCACTGAGAAAAATAGTTATTAAATCAAAATCAAGCATTGGTTTTCCTATTGAGAAAGGAGTTGCAAAACAATACCGCCTATTTCTGGTTATAGCTTTAAATTGTTACTTTCTTATTCATAACTATCCAAGTACTTATTATGTAATGAGAAAATACATATAAAGCTCATATATTTTTGTTTAAAGGAAATAAACTTATAAGTCGCCTAAAACCTAATGTCCATTTATATAAAGCTCTGTGTGTACATTAATAAATCGTTGAAAGTTAGAGTTCTTTGGTTGATAGTTTCCTTGAGCTTATATTTAAAGACCGAAATCGATTTTTTACTGGTTATAAACGTCTTTAACAGAATATTACCTTAAGTAAAAGCCTGTCAATACTTAAGATGTATTTTCGACAAACTTGTAAATAAGTAAAATAATATATTCTTTAAATACTTTACCGGGATTATTTACAAGATACAATACACAACAAGTAATAGCTTAAAGACAGAAATCGTTATGATTTTAATCTAACATTGACTTTCAAACTAAGTGTAATACTTCTCATCTATAGGAATAAAGTAGTATCTTGGGCAAAAACACAGCTGGGATTATTTGTATATAAATAATTCTAATTAGAGTCTGTGATAACTGTTCTGCAAGGCAGTTTTATGTGTTTAAGCCCCATATGACTCGAGTATATTGAATGGCCGACGGCAACTCACCTTGCAGCAGCCGGTTCTCGGCGTCGGTGAAGCTGAGGACCCAGGCGTCGCCCTCCATGGCGGAGTTCTTGCCCTGGAGCGCGATGCACTCCTTGGAGAGCATGTCGAATCCCTCGGTCTTGACCTCCGCCACGATATTGGGATGTGGCCAGGGGATGCCCGGCAGCGGCCAGTGGGAGGCGGATCTCGGCCAGAGGCCGGCGCACTTGAAGGCGGGCGTGATCTGGACGATGATGCGCTCCCGGATGCGCAACTTGACCTCCGTGGTGTCGGCGATCATCTTGACGATGTCGCGGTAGGCGCACTTGTCGCACGCCTGGGCCACCAGGGTCTGAAATCGGGATCGTATCTTTCTGGCCGAGAGATAGCCACTGGCCGTGATGAACTCCACCCACAGGGACATGGACCTCTTCCGGCCATCGCTTAGCTTCAGTACAGCACATCCCGGCAGCGTTCCATCGTCCACAAAGTTGAGCACTCCCATTTGATTCAGATAGATGATGATCTCGAATTCCGTGGGCGATATAACCTCCAGACCCTCGAACCGTCCATTGTAGTCGTTCAGCGAGGAGATGAATCGTGGCTCCTGGACCTCCACCTCCTTCAGCACGTCCTGGACAATCCGGCACACCTCCTGGATCTGCTTGTGGATCTGCGCCTTCCGCACCTGGACGCGATCCGCACAGTACTTGTTCATCTGGTAGACCATCTTGGACTGCGCCGCAATCATGTCCGACGGCACCAGCATTCTCTATACGGCGGCGGGGCTTGTGTTTGTTTGGTTTGGCGCCCAAAGTCTTTAGTCTCTGTAGTTGAAACTACTCGTGGGTTCACTCATTACCTAGGAGGCACACATGGAGTCAGTCACACACAAAAAACAACAATTAATTTTACGGCACGGCGACGGGGTTTGGGTTCTTTAGTTTTGAATTCTTTTTTTCGATGTTTCTTTAATTTTGAATTCTTTAATTTGCAATTCGTTTCTGTTTGATTTAGATGTAGCGATTCTTATACTCTGATTCTTCGATTCTTTAATTCTTTAATACGGCACAGCGACGGTTCTTTAATTCTGATTCTTAGATTTTGGACTCTTGAATTCCCCAATTCTCCGCTCTCTTTCTCCCGCGTCTTCTCGCGCCGTCAACTCAACATTGACTGATTCCGAATGGCGTTCGCACCGCAAGAAAAGTCCCGCTGCCGCTGTCTCTGCCGGCGTCACTGCCTCTGCCCACGTCGCTGCCCGGATGGGCTCCAATTTTTAAGTGCGAACAAGACAGCCATAGCCACGCGAGAGAGAGTGTGCGCCTCCTCTCTCTCTCTCTCGTTCTTAACAACATGGCTCTTTATAACTATAATTACAAAAACAAACAGAAACATAAAGTAACATAAAGAAACACTGCAGATCTTTTGGCTATAGTTTGTTTTATAGTTTATATCCCCGTAGATAAACCCGGCTTTTAAGCCACCCTTCCTTTTAGCTCCGCCCCATTTGGCACTCTCACTCTTACGCACACTTGCGCACATTGGCATTACCTCTCACACAGATACTCACCCATACAGTTTCCATTCTCTCTTTTGTTTGTTTGTTTTTGGCTATTGGGGTTGTTGTTGCTTTTTTGTGGTGGGTGGAAACAGTGGACTGAATGAGTTATTGGGGTTTTGTTGGGGTTTTTCTGGAGGAGGGGGAGTACAAATGGGGTTTGGGAGTCTTATGAAAATTCAAATATCCCATCCAGTACAGAAGGTATAAGTAAACCCAATACTTGGGATAAAAATATTGATTTGTTTACTTCTCTAGCATGTTACCCAAAATAATGACCCTTATTTGTGTGCAGAAATTAGTATATGTTGAATTTTATTAACTTTAAACTTAATGGTAAAACCGATGGCTTGGGGTCGCGAAATTGCCAATTTCAACATTTCATAACTTGGCCAACAATAATCGTATCTTGATTTGTTATACCTTCTGAGACTCAGCTCGTTGAGTACTAACATCGGGTATCCAAAACTAGACTTACAATTTTTGAACCCATTTTGGTAAATTTTGAAAGGGGTAACTTCATACAAATTGCAAAAAATCGAACAGAATAAAAAAAAAAAAATTTTAATGCAGATTAACTAAGAACTAAACCACAAGCTTTTAGAGGTATGCTATTTTTAGATCGGGTTAAAATTGGTAATGTTATGGGCTCTAGAAATTAGGTTTTGGGTCATATTTATGCAAAATCAATTTTTCGCATTTTTTGACTATAAAATAAAAATGTCGAGGAGGTATACCACGCTAACATCGGGCTTAAATTGATAAAGTTCTGGACTCTAGAAAGGCAGCTTGGATCACGTTTCATCTATGCATAAGCTCTTAGCAAAGGAGGTTGAGTTATAAATAATAAATTGTCCTGGAAATATCCGAAAGGAAATAATACCTTCTTTCTCGCCCAAAGAAGTATCTATTTATCTCCCTCCCCCAACTGTCGCCGTCTCGCTCTCCTCTACACGCCATTGAATTCCTTACCGAATTAATGCATATCTAATGTGATTAATGAGCGCTTAACACGAGCTCGCCGGACTCCATTCCACTCGAGTCCACTCCACCATTTTTGCGGTTCATGGTGGGGTCACCACTTACCCCGCAAGATGAAGATGGCCTGTCCACTCGAACACTAAGTTGCACTTTAAAGAGCGGCGGACAAATTATTATGTATAATTCAATTTGAACTGTGTGCCGGAACGTGCATTAAGATAATGCTAATTAACACCTCGGGGTTGGACTATACTATACCTATACTATATCCCCAGATGCTTTTTCCATCTCTCCGCCTTTTTTTCGTCGCTCTACGATAAGCGGTGAATGGAGATGGAGCCTGTTGGGGAATGGGTACGTGGAATGGAAATGGAAATGAGGCGACCTGATAGGACGGTCTGAAAAATGCGTTGGGAATCATTTTAATGGCAGCGTAAATGTGGAAAATTATCAAAGGAACACGAACTTAATTGCGGCCATTATCGCTTTTATGGCATATAAATTGGAAATGAATTATGCAACAGCCGCAGGAGCGACCGACTCGAGATCTTCATTAGTGGCCAAGGTCAGATCGAGTGGTCGAATGGTCGAGTAAAAGGTCCCCCGTATCGGCAATCAATAGCATCGATGTGCAGGATTTATGCGTGTCATGCGATCGGCGATCGATCGCCGATAGTTTCCGATCCCGATCCCGATCCAATCCGATCCGGTAGTCGCGTCTTTAATTAAATTGTGTATGTTGTGCGAGTGTGTCGCCGATTCTCGGGGCTCCAAAAAACGACTTCATCGGGCGGCTCCGTTTTTATCAGCTGCACGAGATCTCCACCTTCAATCCCTCCCAGCATCTGCACTGTGAAAAATTTAGTCGGACTCATGGAAATTTTGAATTTTAAAGCAAGTTTTGGTGATTTATTTTCTGTTTTTTCCAATAACTATAATACATGTTAGATGGATTAAAAATAATGGTGTTAAAGACCTTTTAATTTTTATCAGGAAAGTATGAAGTGTTTAGGAATTGTATTGATATTCTTAATTAATACTCATATAATTTAAGATAAACTTAATATGTAAAATGTAAACTTTCAATATAGCTTAAGCATTGTTATCTTTTTTTTCCCGGTGAGGTCACATACGCTTTGTGGTTCTGCGCCAAATGAGCAAATGGCGGAAAATTAAGGAGAAACAGGAGGACCTGGAGGAGCAACAGCATCGGAAACCGAAAAACAGAAACAGAAGCGACAACTGCAGCACAGAGATTGCAATCGCTGGCAGGAACATCCCTTTCCTCGCGATCTCCCCCTGCTTTTTCCCTGGCATTCCCTTGCTGGGAAACGATGTCCAGCAGCTGCTGTTCCTACACGACACTCTGACCCCCTTTCCCGTTCTCAACCCCTTCTTTTTCCCCTTCCCCTTCCCCTCCGTTTGCCCCTCTCGTGGCGCTTTCGCACGGGCGACATTTTGACGGGGACATGTTCATTTATCCGGAGATTCAGTGCAACAGATGGAAGGACAAGATATTGCCTAGTCGGAACATACCTTCCGAACGGTTTGAGGAGCTAAAACCCCTTTATTTTTATTAACTCCCGAAAAAATAAGTTTGCTTCCAAAAGATTCCCTTAAATAAATATCAAACTCCTAAAATCTAGTTAAAACCGATCAAAATAAAATTAACATAATTCTTTCTTGTCATCAAATACTATCTATACAAAGTGAAAGACATGCTAAGCTAATTTATATCGTCTATTAAAAAAGGAAGGTTAATAGAAATGAATAAAACGTCAACCCAAGTGATTCCAGTTAAGCCCACACAATTTTAAGATCTGTATCAATCATATATTGATATGAATTTGTTACATAATATCCCCGATAAGATATCAAATGAAAGATTTGAAGCCAGAAGTTTTCATAAATTGATTCCTAGAAGCCACCCACGAACGGATATTGGATTACCTTACATTTCATCGAGTATATCATCGGGTTACCTCAATCTCAATGAAACCCTTTGAGCAGTGACATTTCCCCGAACTCGTGGCTCCAAAATGAATGAAGTAGGGATGGTTGGGTTGCCCATATAACTCGGCTTAATTAGGCCAAACAAAGATGCACCTTGCCACGATCGCTCATCGATCATTTTCCGATTGAGCTGGCCGGAGCTCTGATAATCCCGGTATATATAACCTTTTCTTTTCTTTTATTTTCTTTTCTTTTCTTTTTTTTCCTCTTCTCTGTACTCTTTTCTTGTTTCTTCTCCCTTATTGTCTTGTTTCTTCCCTGGATGGTTAAGCCTTTCTTATTGTGCACTCGAGTTTGTCATTCGATATGATGGCCCCGTTGACAGGCGTTTTTTGATGAAGACAACCGCTGGCGCTTGTCCGGCGGTATATGGCTTATATGCTCCCGGTTCCCTCTGGATAACCCTTTCGGAATTGGACGCGGAATCGGACTCGGAATCGAAATCGGTGGCATGTGCAAAGGTCAGCTGGCTGCAACGAGGGCAATGGCATTCCGCGGTTAACATTTACCTGGCATTAGCCCTCTCTGTAACCCCTTCTACTGCCCCCCCTCTCGCCCCCTACTTCTTAGCCCCCTGATCTTACCAACTGACTCTGCTTGTTGGCCAAGTGGCGCCTGCATCCCGTCGTGCGTCGTCTGCATATGCGGAATATGCGTGAGCGTCGCCACGAAATGAGACTGGAGAACAAGCTCAAGAACCCCCCTCCCCTCCCCTCCTCTCACCCCGCAGAATTCAAATCTTAACCCTCCATACTATATATATATATATGTATACCCCTCTCTACCACCATTAAAATCAGCGACATGCGGTTAAATATGCTTAAGTTTTTCCGCGGACAACTTGAAATTAAGTAGATGCCAAGATGCAAGCAGGGGGAAGGGGGAAGGGGGGGAAGGGGAACGAGGCAAGATCATGCAAATTGTTAGTCCCCCCATCCCCCCCGATCTTTCCCCGCTGAATGGTTCCACCTTTAAGACAGGTCCCATGTAGTTGGCTCGATTTATATTTTGTTTGGTCAGAGGAAATATCAACGCGTTTGCGTAAATGCTGGCTTAATCCATTCATTATGGCCATTAGGCTTTGTACGGCCTGATGGGTTTCCCCTCTTCCCCCCTTCGCAGTGTTCGGCCCCCCGATAATTGCAGAGCAATTGATTAATCCCAACTCTGGTGCCTTGTCAACGGGCTGTAATCTTCTCCTTTTTATTCTTCTGCTGGAGCCACTGACACGTTCCCCAAAGTTTAACAAAAAGGGGGGCTTATGTTGAGGAGCTACTCCAGTAATTGGGTAGTAGCAGTCGTAATTGCATGGGCCATAATCGAGAAGAGAGGAAGTACCTAATGCCAGGGAGTGCTCATCAAATGTGGTGATTGGTGTACATTGATTATTTCCGTTGGCAATCGTGCGTGTTAAAATGGAGGTTTTGTTATCAATAAGAAATACATAAGTGGAATTTATTTTTATTGATAGCCATTTAATAAGGCGTAATTTATGGTTTTTAACATTTACATTTAACAGCAAGACTTTACGCATAGGATATTGATTTTTTATTGAGGACTTTCAACATTGAGGACTTAACATACTGATCGAAAACTAGCATATTACTTAGCGAAAAGTGAAGTGATCCCCCATT